CCCTCGCTCCCGCTTCTTTCTTTCTGCTGTCTGGCTCTCCAGGAAAAGTTGAATCCCCAAGTTTGGTGCAGTCCTCCAAGTTGCCGGGGGGTCTCTGGGAACTGTGTGTGGGGCGGGGGAAGCGAGGTCCATCCCCCTACTTTAGCGGGTGAGCGGCTGGCTGTGCCCACGGCGCCCGGCTCGGCGCTGCAGCCCGCGCCAGCCGATCGCGGGCGCTTGGCGGTGGGTGAGGGAGACGCCTGACCCAGGGCCACCCTGATTTCCCTCGAGACCCGTAGAGCTTGTATTTGGAAGGGAATTTGGGGAACCATGCTTTCATTCTTTCGGCTGCGCCTTCTTAATTCTCTGAAATCCCGTCTGCGGAAAGCTAGCTGGGCGCAGACGAATGGTTGCTCTCCCAGTCAGGGCCACAGTTCCCACCCCAAGTCGGCAGCCAGTGTCTTGACCAGCCACCCTGTTAACCCTTTCTAGGTGAGCTTGCGGCCCCGGAGCCAAGAGGACTCTGGGGGTAGAGGCCAACAGCGCTGGCAGAGGGAGGTAGAAACCCTGGGCTGTTTTGCAGCTGCTTGGTTCACTGCAATCGTGGCCCCACCGTGGCAGAGGCTCGGGCGCCTGTGCGGTCTTCAAAAGGGTTCTGGAGCCCCCAGCCCTGCTCCTGAGCTGCGCCTTGGCAGAGCCCTTTGTCTCCCTGCCTAGTCTTCCCTTCCCGGTTGCAGCGTGAGGTGGACCCAGGTGCCCCATCTTACCAGTGGTGCCTCCATTAAAGTCCAGGACTTGCTCACTCCTGGGAGCCCACGCGCCACACTGGCAGTTGACGGACCCAGCAGATGCACCCCTGCTATAAACCAGCCAAACACTGCCAACCAGTCAATTCTGACTTATGGTTACCCTATAAATCTGGGTAGAACTGTAAAAACGTGGGTCTTAACTCTTTATGGGGGTAGACTACCTCATCTTTCTCCCATGGAGTACTGGTGGTTTCAAACAGCTGACCTCCAGGTTAGCGGGCCAATGTGTTCCCACTTCCTCACCAGGGCTCCTATTCCCCGGCTGCGGGGGTCTGTGTTTCTTATGATTTTGCTTCCGCCTTCACCACCTATCTCCTTGGCTTTTTTTTTTTTTTTAAGATCCTCTTGGCCCTGGGTGCTTGGGTGTCAGAATCCGTGCAGTACCTCACCTAAGTGTGTTCTCATGCGTCCACTCACACCGGTGCACGCTCCTCCCTCCCCCCGCTTTTGGGTTGCATACATTCATTCCACCTAGGGGTGGAAGAAGGAGACCTGGTGCCCCAGTGGCTCATGCTCTCTGCTGCTTGCCTGAGAGGTCTGCTGTTAGAACCACAGGAGGAAAGACCTGGTGATCCCCTCCCATAAAGATGACTGCCACCCCCAACCTAAGTGGATTCTGACTCATGGTGACCCACTGTGAGAGCCCAGACTGCCTGAGGTGGATGGTGGGTGGCTGTAATCCTTAGAGAAGCAAAAGGTCACATCTTTCCCCTGTGGAGCAGCCAGTGGGTTTGACCCACTGACCTTTCAGTTGTCAACCAAGCGCTTCAGTGCTGCACCACCAGTCTCGGAAACCCTGGGGAGCATTTGACTCTTTCCTACAGAGCTGCTGTGAGCTGGAAGCTACTTCACACCAGGCAACGACCACACCGGTGGGAGTGACCTAAAGTGGTGACCAACTCGAGTGTGGGTGCCTTCGGAAGGGGTCAGGAGGGGCAGGGCTCTACCAGGTGTGTGCGGCCCTGGGAAGAGGTCTGATCTGGAAGGGCCTAGCTTATGTGGAAAGGCTGCATCTGAAGGAGGAGAACCCAGTTGCCCGTTGGTTTCTGTGGGTCAGGGCTGCTGTGCCCTGTGGCCCCCACAGTGAGGCAGGTGTAGGAACACTGTTTTGAAGGTGAGCTTGGCTGTGCAGGGCCTTGAGAGCAAAGTTGAGTGCTTAGGGTGATGACTAACAGAAGGGATTATGTTCTTGTTCATTTTAAATAAGTGTGTTTGTTGCAGGGGGTGGGGGGCACTTCCCCATGATTAGAGTTGGCCATGTGCAGAGTGCCCCTACTCTCCCACTTCAAGAAAGCCCAGCATGCTTAGAACCTCATTGTGATTTTTGCATCACTTGCTGTAACCGATGTGGTGGGTGGTGACTTCTGCATACAGTGTGGCAGAGTTTGACCTTGTTAAAGTGGAATCACCCTCTTACCTCTCATCAGGCCTGGCCTGGCAGCTTTGTAAACCGCCTCCCCCACTCTATTGAAGTCTGGGAGGGAGGGTGTTGCTGTATCGTTCAAATTCTTACTTTTCAGGGCCACAACTAAACTGCCCAGGGTGCTGTCATTCACCTATCACTTCTTCTTCTCCTCTGTTCTCTAGCCCCTGTAGTTGGTCCCGGAAACCCACCCTGTCCCGCCACGCAGAGTCCAGAAGGAAAGAGAGCCCCATGCCTGAGCTGCTGGGAGCACCATGGATCTGACAAAGATGGGTATGATCCAGCTGCAGAACCCCAGCCACCCCACCGGACTCCTGTGCAAGGCCAACCAGATGCGGCTGGCGGGGACCCTGTGCGATGTGGTCATCATGGTGGACAGCCAGGAGTTCCATGCCCACCGCACGGTGCTGGCCTGCACCAGCAAGATGTTCGAGATCCTCTTCCACCGCAACAGCCAGCACTATACGCTGGACTTCCTCTCGCCAAAGACCTTCCAGCAGATTCTGGAGTATGCCTACACAGCCACACTGCAGGCCAAGGCAGAGGACCTGGACGACCTGCTGTACGCGGCCGAGATCCTGGAGATTGAGTACCTGGAGGAGCAGTGCCTGAAGATCCTGGAGACCATCCAGGCCTCGGATGACAATGACACCGAAGCCACCATGGCGGATGGCGGGGCTGAGGAAGAGGAGGACCGTAAGGCTCGGCACCTCAAGAGCATCTTCATCTCCAAGCATTCCAGCGAAGAGAGCGGCTATGCCAGTGTGGCTGGGCAGAGCTTCTCGGGGCCTCTGGTGGACCAACGCCCTTCAGGCTCCACCTCCTTTGGCCTTTTAGCCATGAGCCCCACCAAGGCTGCTGTGGACAGTTTGATGACCATAGGACAGTCCCTCCTGCAGGGAACGCTTCAGCGTCCTGCAGGACCCGACGACCCCACGCTGGCAGGGGGTGGGCGGCACCTTGGGGTGGCTGAGGTGAAGACGGAGATGATGCAGGTGGATGAGGTGCCCAGCCAGGACAGCCCTGGGGCAGCCGAGTCCAGCATCTCGGCAGGCATAGGGGACAAGGCCGAGGAGAGAGGCAAAGAGGGGCCCGGGACCCCAACTCGGAGCAGCGTCATTACCAGTGCCCGAGAGTTGCACTACGGCCGGGAGGAGAGTGCCGAGCTCCTGCCGCCCTCTGCGGAAGCTGGCCAGGTCCCCCCTGGGCGCCCAGAGCACGCCGGGCCCCCGGCTGAGAAGCATGTGGGCATCTACTCCGTGCTGCCCAACCACAAGGCCGATGCGGTGTTGAGCATGCCGTCTTCGGTGGCCTCCGGCCTCCACATGCAGCCGGCCCTGGCGGTCTCCATGGACTTCAGCACCTACGGGGGGCTGCTGCCCCAGGGTTTCATTCAGAGGGAGCTGTTCAGCAAGCTGGGCGAGCTGGCTGTGGGCATGAAGTCGGAGAGCCGGGCCATGGGCGAGCAGTGCAGCGTGTGTGGGGTCGAGCTTCCTGACAATGAGGCTGTGGAACAGCACAGGTAGGCCCCGCAACACCTCCGTACCCACCACCAACCTCCCTGCCCCAACTCCCTTTCTTCGAACCCCTGCCCTCCCAGCTGTTGGTCAAACACCCCGCACGATGGGGGGCACACATGTCAGAGTAGGCTGAGGGGACCAGAGGGCTTTCACGGGTTAGGGACCACGTGGTAAAAACTCCACTTCTTACTAGGCTTGTCTCCTCTTTTGCCTTTGGGCTTCTTAACCCTGCTGGTTGGTGATTCCTTTTAAACCCAGAGTGGAGGGAAGGAAGTGGGATTCAGGACAAGGGTCTCTCACGGCCTGGATCTGGGCATTGCACTGCTGCCACACGTACACACTTACTCCCCTGACTTTACCAAGGCCGGCTCTTTGCAGTTCAGGTCATGGATGCCGGAGCATTGGGCAGGCCAGAGGCCGCCTGGCCACAGTGTAAGTAGCAGGTTCTGACCACTGTTCTGGTGAATGTTCGTCATCTCACTGCGTACTCGCCCTTCGCGTTCTCTGTTCCTGTGCGCACACTTAGGAGGTGCCGGTTCCAATTCAGGTGGGAAGACTGTGTGGAACTGTGAGCCCTGGCCTCCTCCCAGCTCTCAGAGCCTTGTTCTCATCCCGTCCCTGCCCACACTGGAGGCTGTACCGCTTTGGGCTTGCACAGGCTTCTGTGTCCTCCCTGGCAGAACAGCTCTCTCGGAGCACCTGCCTCAGTGCGAAACGCTTTAGGCGGAATCGCAGTTCTGTTGTAACAGACCGGAGGTAGGACATGTGCTTCTTTGCTGTAGAGGGTTCTGAGACTCAGACATAAAGTACCTGTTCCCCAGACCCACCCCGTGAGCAAAAGGCGGCGGCGCTGGACTCCTCGCCAGGGCTGAACCCCTGCACTTTGCTGCCTCTTGGAGTGATTCTGCCCTGAAGAGGACCATGCCCACACAACAGGGTATCTTAAACCTGCTCCCCAGAAGCAGTAATGATGGAAGGGCTCAGTGATGTGTTTTTATTTTCTTCCCCTGTTTGTTTGTGATAACCGTATGGCTGCCAGTTGACTGGGGCTAGCCCTTGGGTGGGATTCATGGAGTAAAGGAGGCGGCTTTCTGTTGTCAGCCAGTGTAACACGTTCCCGCACACCTTCTGGCCTGCTGTTTGCTCATCTTGGGTGGATTCTCCAATTTTGGCAAGCACGCTCCCTCCGTCCCCATCCTCTGTGGCCCAGGTGGGGAGGTGAGTGAGAAGGTGTGGGGTAGGGGACTCTGCAGGTCAAGCAATCGCCCTGGGCTGGATCTGGTGGTGACACTGCCTAGTAGGGCATTGCTGCTGTTAGGTGCTGCCAGCTCCCCGTCGGGCCGTGCTAGGGCCCACTGTTGTCGCCATGGTGTCAGTCCAGCTCATAGAGGGCTTTCCTCTTTCTTCTTTTGCTGACCTTCAACGTAATCAAGCATAGGATACCTACTCCACGGACTAGTGTGTCCAGCGTCCATACGACAGAAATGTCGCCATCTTCACTTCTAAGGAGCATTCTGACGGGATGTTCTAAGGTTGGTGGGTTTGATCCACGGTATACCTGATAGTCTTCACCAGCGGCACAATGCAAAGGGTGCATTTCTGCTTCAATCTTCCTTATGTGGTCCAGCTTTTGCCTGTATCCAAGGCGATTGAAAACACCAGGGTTTGGGTCAAGTGCAACTTAGTCTTCCGGATGTCTGAGGTGTGTGTTGGTTCTTACGGTTGGCCCTGTGGAAAGTGCAGCTAAGCTAAAACGTAATCAGTTGGGTGTTTGGGGCTTTTTTGGGTGCCTGTGCCATTTTCCCCCGGTGGGTGCGAAAAATAACTGCCACCAAGGTGTGTCTTCTTGGTGCGTGCAAAGTTCAGAAACAGAAAGAGGTGGTGTCACTTCTGGTTCGGACTTTCCTAAAGCGGGGAAACCCCCTCCCCAAACCCAGCGAGATAAGATAGCTCATCACCTCCAATCGGATGTGGATCATTTATTTCGTTTGAGGCCTATGAAGAGAGAGGGGATGGTGGAAAATCATTTTTCCCTGGGATCTGGTTGGGTCCTGATGGCCGCTCCTCAGTCAGAGTGCCACATCCCTGTTCTGTGGGACCCCATTCCTCTGGGGGAGAGAGGGGTGTCCAGCCACGTCACATCCCAAAGAGCACGCCTGGGTGCTGGTGTGGGCCATGTCTAGTGGCGAGAGGTTGGGATCGTGGTTTAGCCTTTCGAGCTTGCTTTGTTCACCCTTTAAAGTGGAGCTGGTCACAAGGGTTGGGTGTGGAATTAATGGAATAACATCCAGAGGTCACGAGAGCTGTGGCTAGCACACAGTCACCAGGACGTTGACGGATTGGCCCTCTGTTGTTACCTCTTGTGTCGCCCCAGTCTCCGCAGGGTCCCTGTTGCCTCTGCGCTTGAGTGGGCAGTGCCCTCTGCGCTGCCTCCCACCAGGGTTGTGATGGCTGCCAGGTCCTCTTCTCATGCGTGTGTGATGGAGGGGCGCTGTCTGGGGACCCTCGGGGTCCTGCTGCGCGCTGGTGACAGGGAGAACCCCGGGGCTCTGAGTGGCTAATCATTTAGAAGGGGCTGACCAGTCCTGACCAGGCCTTCCTTCCGAGGTCTGAACTGAAACCTGACTTGATCCTACAACCGCTGCTTGGCATCCGGGCACATGAAGTATTCGCACTCGCCCCAACGGGGAGGAAATGTGCCAGTGTGTGCCCAGGCCTTACTCAGAAGACACCCCCGTCACTTCTGTCTAGATATTGCGGGGAGCTCTTCTCCCTCTTTCTCACGCTCAGAGCTCCAGGATGAATAGACGACTTGCCTATTTCTTGCTTACTCCTTGACCATACCCAACCCCATCCCCCATCCCCAGATGCTTCTGGTGGAAGGAAACAGCACTACAACTAGAAAAAGATACTGCTGAATCCAGAGCTGGGGATTCTACTGTTAAGAGACTGTGGAATTGGCCCCATGAAGACAGCCTGATGCACATGACGACGGGATGGGCTACAGGGTTGCTTTTGATGCCGCTTAGGCTCCGTTGTTTTTCGTTGTTGATGAGTTGGCCCCAACTCATGAAAACCTTCAATATACCAGGATCCCAGGCTGCAGGTCCTGCAGTGCTGCCCTGATGGTTGGTCCATTTGAGTCCATTGTCATGATGATTGTGCTGGTTGGTCTCGTGGGGGTTCCTCCTCCTCTCTGCTGGTCCTTTACCACGCACACTCTCATCTTCTAGCAACTGGTCTTTTCTGATGATGCATCCAAAGCAAGCAGAGGGAAGTCTCTCCATTGTTAGTTGCCAACATCACAGCTCGAACATGCGGACCCTTCTGTCTGTCTTCCCTTCAAAAAAAAGTATTTGTTGTTGGTGGTGAGAATATAGCCACTCCTCACTCACCACCATGGCTAGGCTCCACAGGGCAGGCTGCCATCCTACGTTAGCATTAGATGACAAGGAAGGATGACCTCATGAGGTCACAACACGGAGGGTGACTGTCCACAACTCTCCCACTACACCGTTGTGTAATTGCCGAAGTGAGTCGGTTGAGAATCACAGTCCAGCCAAGTTGACACATACCCACGGTAGCCAGCATTACTCTTGCCTTACACATTGGCACGTGTTATTGCCAGACATATGCTGTTAGTGCATGGCATCGCAGATCTTTCCCTGTTGCTGTAGATGTGCTATGTCGGATCGTGGGAGGAGTTGCTAAGTGAGGACTGGTTGTGTATGTGGCCAACCCCACACCCCTTCAACAGTTTGCCCATATTCCTTTTAGTTGGTTTACATTGATTACATCCTTTGAGTGCAAAGGTCACACTTCTTTATTATTCAGCTTTCTTATGCAGAGGAGGCAATTGAAGAGAGCAGCTTGGGCCAGGCACACCTTAGTCATCAAAGTGATGTCTTTGCTTTAGAATTTTTTAAGAGACCAGTAGGTTAGCGTGTTGGTGAAGACTGAGTGCCCAGCAGTTTTCGTTTCCTCTCTTGGGGCATGTGGCTGGTGGTGTTTGGGCATGAGATGAATAAAGGAAAGAGGGGGTGAGGAGGGATAAGTGGTAGGAAGGAGTGAAGGGAGGGAGGGAGGGAGGGGGCAGGGTTAGGGGGTGATGTAGATAGGAGAGCTTGTTATGGAATCAGACCAATCCATTTCCACGGGACATAATCCCAAGGTGGTATGGAGTGGGCAGGGGACATATCGGTGCCACCAGTAGTTAGAAGGAAACAATGCCATGGTGATTTTGGCTACTCCTGTCATGAAGAAATGAAAGCCATGTGGCCTTGGATTGATGGAAAGACTAGACACAACATTTGAGCGCATAATTATCTAAATGATCTAGTAGGAAATTAGGTCAGGAGACCTGCTAGAAAAGCTGTGTTTTCTAGGCAGGTGGAGGAATATGCTCTGGACCCCAAGAACTTTTCCAGTGGGACCCACATTACTCCACACTCAGCCTCTCTTCTCCCTCCCCCACCCCAATCTCCTCTGCAAAGGGGGAGCAGTTCTGTCTGTAGGCCCGTCTGCATTTGACTTCTCTGGGCCTGGTGCACCTGGTTATTCGGAGTCAAAGACAATAAGGTTGACTGAAGTGTGAACACAGTCCTCCTTTATAGCCCCTAGTTCCCCTAGGCGCATATAGCCTTGTCTTCATATGCCCATGAATTCGGTGCTGCAGAACTGAGTTGGGTTTTAGTTTCCTGGAGCCAGCCCTTGGACCAGCTGCCGTAGGTCTTGTGCACAGACACAGCAGGAACTCCTGGCTGGTCCTTGAAGGGTTACCCAGTAGCCACGGGGGCTGGTTCTCACCCGCTCTCAGGACCCCTGTGTGCAGCCCTCCCGGATGCTTCTTGGGTGCACTCGCTGTGTGGTTGAGATGCCAGAGTCCAGCCTGGCCCTTTGCCAGCTGTTCCGTCTTCAGTAGAGCAACAACAGTGGTGGACCTTGGTGTAGGCTACTCGACCTTGGGGAGGTTAGAGGTGGCACTGAACTCCCTCGATCTCAA